ACAGAGACTAATGTCAACATTTCAAATAGCACCGGAAATGATCCTTATGAACAACAAAATCTGACAGCCGATTTTTAGCAGATTTATTTCATAGTTTTTTAAGTACTAAGCACGTACTAAACTTTAAGTGCATTTTTAAATAAAGATAGGATTGCCTGTTCCAGAACTTGACTTTTATTTTTTTGTTGTTAATCTTCACCTGAGGCTATTTTTTCCATTGATTTTTAGAGAGAATTCGAGCGAAGGACGAAGAGAAAGAGAGAGAGAGAGAGAGAAAGAGAGAGACATCGATGTGAGAGAGACACATCAATTGGTTGCCTCCTGCACGCACCCTACCAGGGCTGGGGATCGAACCTGCAACTCTGGTACGTGCCCTTGACCAGGAATCAAACCTGAGACCCTTTGGTCTGAGGGCCGACGCTCTAACCACCGAATCACGCCAGCCAGGGCGAGAACCTAAGTTTTGCTCTTTATGGCTTTCTTTACTTCCCTGTTCACGAGTCTTGGCTACATGGATGGTATTGTGGCCCAGCTGGATTGGCAGGTGCGGGAGGGAGTGCAATAGGGATAAAAGGGTAAATGAAATAAAACATGGACTTCTTTTTAAGTCTGTGTGAGGGCTTCATTCTCTCAAAGTCACCAATTAGATATTTATATGTACCAAGATATTTTAAAAATCCATTGTTTTTTTGAGATCTAATTTTCACTTTCCCTATTTGGATAGCTATTTAAAGATGTACCCAAGCAGAGTTCAAACATACAGCAGATTTCAGTTCAGTGGTTTCTTGAATCACACCTAAAATCCAAGCAAAGTGAGTTTCTGAAAGAGCTGCTGTAGTTTGTCTTTAACAGAGGACAGTCAGCACCATCTAGTGGAGGCAAAGAACCTCTTTTCTTTAATTCAGTCCAGTGAGGAGGTGAAGAGAGGAATCTTCAGAACTTGGGTTGGAATCCCAGAGTTCGTTTCTGAGTGACTTCGAAAAAATTACTTACCCCCTCCGTGCTCTGCTTCTCAACTATAAATCTGGATAATAATAGTGCCAACTCATCGGATGTTATGAAGTGAAATAACGCATCTAAAGCGTGTCCTAAACACTTAGTAAATGTTGTTTTTTAAAAACCCTGAGCCATAGACTCACAGGAGGTAGAAACTGTCCAGTGGCTCACACTTTTAACTGCCCCTCAGAAGAAATGACTAATCCAGTTTCTAGATTATATGAGGCTTAATGAGGTTCCTCTTCTAGTGTGTTGCTGTGTTTGGCTGAAGCTTATGGTGAGAAAAAAGAAATTGGGGCAACAAGACTGGAATGAGAGTTGCAGCCCAGATGGAATACAATGTGGGCTCTCTCTCAGTCATTCAAAATCTGACTCCACTCAGAAGGAGAATGTCAAGAATAGAATGAGAATGAAAACAAAAACGAAAACCAGCTCTGAAACCAGCACTGCCATATGTCCCCAACCTGGAATGAGACCAGGGGAATTTTAGCTTAAAATATCTTGACTCTAGAAGAAATCTTTATGAATTTTCTTGGAAGACACAATACCTCCTAGAATATGTTTGGGGTTTTTGAACACAATATTTCAGAGAATAGCATAGAAACATATGGTGCTCTCTGACTTATATCTGAATGTGATTTGTTTTGAGGGTGTCACTTGCAGTAGCTGACACAGAAGTATTTCACTAAATTAAAAACAAAGACACAATTTATTATGCACTAAAACACAACAAATGCAGTTTATTAAAGTTTGCCCTCAAGGCACATACGGCTTCTCAGCAGTTTGCGAAATGGAAGCAGCAGGAGGTAAATAAACAAAGTGAGAATGACAGAAAACAATCCAGGAGGAGATGAGTTTTATGCAAAATGTAATCAGTGGGGATTTAGTTTGGAAAGATTACAGTGAAGAGACAAAGTTTTTATTGAACCTGAATTTTCTTCTCACTTGCTTTATCTTATGTTGCAAATATTTTAAAAGCAACAATTTAAAAAATAAAGACACGAATTAATCATGGGCATTGATCATAGCCCTGATTTTAGTTAGCTGTTTCTTTCCTTCCACATCCCCTCTAAATCTGAAATGCGTTATTTTCTTAATGAGTATCACTAGATGTCAAAAATAACAATGGAAAGAACGGCCTTTATTCATAGAATATTGGAACTGTGCGGGCATTTGGAGATTATCTGGTCCGTGGACCAGAAACATTGGCATGACCTGGGAGCCTGTTTGAGGCCTGGGCCACCCAGCTATTTAGTATCAGAATCCAAACAATGGCATCTCTCCTCCTTATAAAAAAAAATAAAGCAGAGTCAAGGGCACAGAGGGTAGGGAGTGTGGAGATGGGGAGGGATTATTTTTTATAGGGTGGTCAGGAAAGGCCTGCCTGAAAAAGCCATCTGAGCGAAGAGAAAAAGTGAGCCACGTGGTTAGCTGGGGAGCTGTATTCCAAGCAGAGTAGTAGCAGGCCTCTGTGTGTGTGTGTGTGTGTGTGTATGTGTGTGTGTTGGGGGTGGTTAGTTGTACTGGAGGAACAGCAAGGAGTAGTGTTTCCAAATTCCCAACAGATATTAAAGAATCAAAACTGCCAGGAGTTCTCAAAATCTTATTCAAAAATACTTCTAACCACCTTTGTATTCTTTACCTGTTATGACTATCTGAAGCATTTGTTTAAAAAGTGAGAACTCTTAAATTAGAAGTGTTTACAAGAATTGTCACTTATAGCAAATATTCAAACACTGGAGAACACAGGGAACATCATTGGGTGCCACTGGAATAATGGAACATACAAATCTCCAAGCAAGGTTAACAGCACTTCACGGAATTATGAGTTGGAAATTGCCATTTAAGGACTTACTTTGAATCAAAACGTATTTCTTGAAACACCACTCACAGAATTTGTATAAAGTACACAAGTAGTATTAACTTATTAACATTTAAATTATTTGTAAGAATGACTCCCTGTTAGCAACAGACAGGGCCAGGAGCACACACTTATAACATGACGCCAGCTCCAAGCAAGATCAGATTGCGACCACATCCTCTCCCAGGTGCTCCTGTCCCCCAGAATCTGGAACGTTCACCTCAACTTCTGACTCAGAGCATCAGCGTTTCCTGCTCTTGCTTTCAACTTGACATCAGTGAGAGGATTCCTTCAGCAACATCTCTATAGTGATTGCTAAGGTTTCATTCTCATAGGAGAATTAGAATGCTTTCTCCAGTTTTCCTGATTTCTCAGCTTTTTTTTTTTTTTTTTTTTTAAATTTGGAAAACCATAAATTTCCTGAGAAACGCTGGGAAGAAATTCCTGTGTAGAAACACTAACAAGGAGGACAGTGAGGCTGAACCAAAGTGCACGAGGAAAGGATGGTAGGGCTGGAGGTCTGAGAGAAAATGGAGGGCCTGGTCATTTAGGACTTGTGGGCATTGTCAGGACTGTGAGAAACGGGGAGCCATGGAGAGTCCTGAGCAGAGAGTGACATGGTTTGACCTAGGTCTTAAAAGCATCATTCAGGCTGCTGTTAGAAAACAGTAGGGGCAAGGGAGGCCACAGTGAAACGGTTACTGCAAAGATCCAGATGAGAGAGCGACAGGATGCGCCTCAATGGAAGCACTGAAGGCAGTGAGAAGTGGTTGGATTTTGGATATTTATTGAGTGTAGAGCTGACAGGATTGAGAAACTGATCGTAGAATGTGAGAGGAAGAGGAACCGAGGAGGATTTCAAGGTTTTTGGTCTGAGCCTGGCAGGATGGAGTTACTTTACTGAGATGGATTAAGAGGGTCGTGGTGGTGGAGGAGACTGTGGAGAAGGTGTTTTTGTTTTTTTAATCCTCACGGGAGGATATTTTTTCCATTGCTTTTCAGAGAGAGTGGAAGGGGGAGAGAGAGAAAGAAACATCAATGTGAGAGACACACATCGATTGGTCCCCCCCACGGGGGGGTGGGATCAAGCCTGCTACTGAGGTACATGCCCTTGGCTGGAATTGAACCCGGGACCCTTCATTCTCCGGGCCGGATGCTCTAACCACTGAGCGAACCAGCCAAGGTGAGAAGGTTGCTTTTTGACATGTGCAGTCTGAGATGCTTCTTACACCTCAGTGGAGCTGTCTAGGCGGACACGGCACAGTCAGATACAAGACTGTGGAGTTCAAGGGAGAAGTCTGGGCTGGGGGTAGAAATGCAGGATTTAGCTGCATATGGACGGCACTGCCCTAGATTTTAGTTGTGTGTTTTTTGAGTAACTCACTTAACCTTTGTCTATCTGCTCTGCTGAAAAACCCGTAAAGAACCCACCTCCTACCTACCTTAACCAACGACGATAAAGGGGCCAAGTATGTGAAAATGCCCTGTGAACTGTAAAGTGCTGTTTAGACTGGAAAAAAAGCAGATATTTCATGGTACCAGGGATGCAGGAAATCAGTTTGTGGACTTAGCCAGAGCCTTCATGCTCTGAGAATGACAGGAACCACGAAGAGCGATTATTACCCTTTTGGGGCTGTAGCGCAATTTGTGCAATTACTATTTTTAATTTACATGACATCCAAAGTTTACCAAGAACGTCACATACATGATCTTTTTGAGCTGCACAATCGTCTTGTGGGGAAGGAATTATTATCATCCCCATTTTACAGAGGAGCACGCTGAGCCTCAGGAGGGTAGTGGACCTGCGGGGCGGGCACCATATGACAGTGAGGGCCAGAGCCCCACAAGCATCCAGACATCCTGGATCCGAGGTCACCCCAAACACGAACAAACTCCTCCCCACCCACACCGTCCTCGGGGAGCCCGGAGGAGCCCGCCGGCCCGCCCCGGCTCCGGGCTCCCCACGCTCCCCGCTGCCCCGCCCGCGCCGCAGTTCTGGGCGGGGCAGCGCTTTTTTCTTATCGCGAGACTGGAGGCGTCGCGACTCTGGTTGCCAGGGGAACAGCGTTCTCAGGAGCCGGGGAGCTTTGGCCCCGCTGCTCCTTTCCCCTGCAGAGTAGGTCGCTCTCGTGGCAGGAAAGACCCCCTCCTCTTTGGGGGACAGTGGGTGACGGTGCGAGCGTCAGCGGTGCGCTTCTGAGCCCTCAAAGCTCTGACGACTGGCGGCTAGTTCCTGGAGGTTCCTCCCGGCAGGTGAGGAGCCGCACTGGTAAGAGCCGGCTCGGTACCCGCGACTAGCCAATGAGTGAGCGACAAGCCAATGAGTGAGCGACGACAAGCCAATGAGAGAGCGACAAGCCAATGAGGGGGCGGAGCGGCCTGCTGCAGGCTGCTGCGCCCAGAGGCGGGCTGTTAGGCGCGGAGCGGAGCAGGGCAGGGCCAGTGGGGGGCGGGACGGTCCCGGTGCGGGTGGAGGGGCCTGGAGTCTCACCAACATCCTCGAGTTTATGTTGAAAATCAATCACTGGCTTTTGAAAATAGACCGTAAGTGGCAAAAGATGCAAATAGGCATTTCAACGACAAAAATGAAAATACAAGGTGGCCAGCAAACATTTAACGAGAGGCTCCACGTCTCTCGTAATGAAAGCGATGTAAGTGCAACTCCAGGTGCTTTTTCACACCGGGCTGACAAAGATGAACAAAGCTTTGCTGTTAACCAGATCGACCCAGTTCAGTGTGGGGAACCAGACTTCCATCTCATCGCACCTTGTCGGTAGTAGTGTGATTTGGAAAGGTGTTTTTGGAGAACACTTTCGCAGACTACCAGAATTTGAAATGCAAATGTTCTTTAAGCAATTCTCATTTATCTTCTGGATGTATAAATATAACAAGACAAAGACTTATAAAAGAGGTTAACTTAAAATTGAGGTATGCTTTCTACATGGTAAAATCCACCCTTTTAATGTGCAGTGCAGTTCAGTGAGCTTTGACAAACATAATTGCAACAACAACCAAGACACAGAACAATTTTCCCCAAATCCCTTACTACTCTTTTGTAGTTAACCCCTCCCTGCCCTCAGCCCTGGCAACCATTTCTCCTATAGTTTTGTGTATTTCAGAATGTCCTACAATTGGGCAAACACTGTGGAGTCTTTTGAACCTGGTTTCTTTCAATTTAGTATAGTGCAGCTGAGATTCTTCCGTGTTTTGTATCAGTTGTTTGTCCCCTTGTACTGCTGAGTAGTATTCCTTTGTATGGATGTACCACGGTTTGCTTATTCCCTAGTTGAGGGACATTTGGTTTGTTTCCAGTTTTTTGGCAATTGTTAATGAAGCTGCTATAAACATTCATGTGCAGGTTTCTGTGTGAATATATGTTTTTATTTCTTGGGTAAATATCTAGGAATGAGATTGTGGAATCATATGGTAAGTGTATGCTTAGCTTTTTAAGAAAATGCCAAGCAGCTCTGTAACACGGCTGCCCCACTTTGCATTCTCACAACCAATATATGACAGTTCCAGTTACTCCCCAATTTTGTCATTTGATTGCTTTCTTTTTTGTACAGTGCTTCATTTTTCTTGTGGCACTTTTATGCGGCTATTGAGGTTTCTTCTTAAACACACAAATACATCAATAAGACACTAATTCAATGCCCTTTGTCCATACTTTTTTCTGTATGGCCAAATTAAAAGATTGTCATTTACACCCCTACTCACCCTCGGAACTGTATTTTGTTTAATTTATTATTTTCAGAAGCAAAAATAATAGAATAGACCTATTTCTAAAGCAAATTGAAAGATTTCTGGAGCCTTTTAGCTGATCTCTGTCACTGACGATTCCCTGGGCCTGTTTACTGCCATGTATTCTACTGGCTCTGCACATGCTTCCATCTCACTGCTCCTTCTGTGAGCTGCAGTAAGTCTCCCTGACAAGCTGCGTAGGCCATTTATGAGACATCTGGCCTTTTGGTGCCTTATGCTTTTTGATTGTGACATGATGGGCCAGGGCGATCCGTCATCCACATAATAATGTCAGTGCCTTCCTGAGTGAGTCAGGACCCTTTTTCAGAGTTGAATAACGTTGAGATCAATGCCTTTTTCATTTGCTGAGATGGAAACTGTTGACCTGCTGGTCCCTTAAGCATCAGCTTTGGCACACTGAATAGTTGGAGGCCCAATCATGTTATCCCTCTGTGAGCCTTGGAGAAGCATCAGGTGGTTTATGTTTGTGCTTCCTCCTGTGTCCAAAAACTTCCCTGAACTCTGCCTGTGCTGTTTAAAAAAACAGAGAAAGATGAGTCATTTTGTAGGGTAAGAAAAGGACATTGTTACATGTGCTGAGACATGCAATTGCCTTTTCTTCATTCTGTTATGAGAGGAGTGGTTTAGTTCATAATTTATATAGGAATTTAGGAAAGGATTTGTTGGAAGATATCCATTCACATATAAAGCTAAGTATTGAGAAAGCAAAATCTGGAATTCTCCCTATTTCTTCCATTTAATCCAGCATGTATGATATCTGTACATTCCTGAACAAATCTGGACCATTCCTGATCAGTGGCATAGTTTGGAAGGATCAATGTGCCCACAATACCCAAGTTCTCCCACTAGTTTAAACCACCCTGCCTAATATTTCTTCCTTCAGAAAGCAGCACTGGGACTAGAGCAGCCAGAGTGGTAAGAAGCCTGTGGATGGTGTCACACGAAAAATAGTTAAAGAGATTGGCAATGTATAGCCAGATAATGAAAATTTTCCCCTAGTAGAGAGAGTAGGTGTTGTTCTCTGTTGATCAGAGGGCAGAAGTAGCATCATGGGTCTTAAAAGGGGAGGGTTGATAGAAAAAGAACAGTGACCTGGAGGTAGGTGCTCCATGAAAATGTGGCACCAAAGAGGAGAGGAGAAATCAGAGCTGAGAGGGAAGACTGGGCAGGAGGCTGGAGTAGGGAAGGCAAAACCAGGAGGCAGAGGCTTTAGCCAGTCATCCTGACAAAGCATGAAGTCTTGGTTGAGAGGTGTGGTGCTCCACGAGTGTATTCTCAACTCAAGGACACAGAACATGTTTCTTGGAGGCACAGGAAGCCATCAAGATTGCATTCACTTCTGCATTCTTTTTTAGCCACTTTCAGAAGCTAACATCCTTTACAGAATGTTTTCCATCTACAGTGACATAAGATTTAATGATCCACAGACACAGATGTCTTGTCATGAAATTAGGGTAGTGTGACTTTGGTAGCAATATAATCCTTATAACAAAGGCTCTGAATTGCATATTAACACCAATGAAACACTTTAATACACGTCATAACTTGCTTTAAAATTTTTGTTTCAGGATATCAATGGATATTATAAAGGGGAACTTGGATGGAATTTCAAAACCAGCCTCAAATTCAAGAGCACGTTCTGGGAGCAGATGTTCAACGGCTTCTTTGGAGGTGCTCTCACCAGAGCCAGTCTTCTTCAAGGTACTCTACTGTTTATAAATGGTTTAAACCCTTTCTCCTGACTTCTAGCCATTGATAAACCAAGGTTGTTGTTGGCATCCCATTTTAAGGTTCCTTTTTAGAGGGTGTGCTGGGAGCACTCATAGCTTTCTTAGATTTTACTATAGATCATCTTACATAAGACACTTTTTCCTTTATCTCCCTTTCCTCCTCTTTTTTAAAATTTATTTTAAATCTGGGGTCACAGGTTCAAATTGGGTTCTACTGACCACACTTTATGTGATTTTGGGAAACTTACTTTGACTCTCTGTGCCAGTTTTCTCATCTGTTCAAACCTCATAAGGGTAAAATGAGATAAAATATTTAAAGTTCTTAGAACAGTGACTAGCACCTAGTAAGTATTCAATACTGTACTCCTTGGCTATTGGTTTTAATTCTTTTTTTAAATCCTCACCTGAGGACATGTTTCTATTGATTTCAGAGAGAGGAGGAGGAGAGAAAGAGGGAGGGAGAGAAAAGGAGAGAGAAAGAAGCATCGATGTGAGAGAGAAGCATTGCTCGGCTGCCTCCTGTACTTGCCCTGACCGGGAATCAAACGCATTACCTTGTGGTGTATGGATGATGCTCCAACCAACTGAGCCACCCGTCCAGGGCTGCTTTAAATTCTTTAACTCAGTTGGTCAGTCCTTTCTATGTCATTCCTAGCATTCAGCATAAAATGTGGCTCATAGTAAGTATTCACGAAATTAGTGTTCAGTAAATTTAGAATGACGATTTCCCCTCTTGAGGTAGGTAGGATAATATACAAAGACCTGACAAAATTTAGATAGCCTAGAATTAGTATTTCTGCTTATATAGTCCCGAGTCATGATTTTTTTTTATAAAGCAGCAACTTCATAATATTGACACACAGATTTTAATGCATAGGTTTCTATTACTTTGTTCAAGACTTATTTAAAAGAAAAACATCAGCGATCACTTCAAGTTAAGATTTTATTTGAACCCATAAGCTATAGTTCAAACCCTAGCATATTTATTAGTCAACAAGGACTTTGATAATTATAGCAAAAGGAAAGCCTCCTAAAAATTGTGATTTGTGTTAATCAAGTTCATGAAAAATAAGTAAAGTTTGTCTTAGGCTGGGGAAGAAAGCCACAGATGTGCTGCATGCTGGCTGCTGATTGCAAATGATTCAGTGTCTGTGAAACCTTATATATTGTCTGAATAGTAAATCCTGGAATTTTGATTAGTTTTATTGTTCAAATTTGGCTTTTATTGATATCTTACCCAAATTTTCTGTATGGCAGAAAATAAGTTTAAAGTGCTAGATTTTTAATGAAATTGTTTTAGTAATAATAGATTTCTCATTCTAAAATGTTTGGTTTACTGTTGCTTACAAATTTTTTTTAAAAAGAGTCTATAGTTGTAATTCATTTAAAAATCCTACATCTTTCAGGTAGGGAATATAATTGTTAGGAAGGTTTTTACAGGGTATTTACCTTTCCTGGGACTAACATGCAGGTACGGAGTGGGGGTCATGGAGCAATGAAACGTGGAGGCGGACTGCAGCTTTGAGAATGAAGAAGAAAAGAAAATCATACGTACAGGAGGCAGGATAGATGAGCAGGAGGGTTAGGGACAGAGAGGCGAGCGGCAGGGAACAGGCTGGGAGAGGTGGGTGGGAAACTACGGGTAACACTGAGAAATGGGAAAGTTTGCCTTTTGTTCTTCAGTTTCATCTTTTTACCTTATTACTTCCTGCCCAGTCTAAGAGTTAGGACCATATGGGGTGATACATGCGAAAGAGTCTTTGTGTATCCGAGTATATTGCTAATACCTAGTTATCTTTTGTATATTCTATATTCCTCTGTATAAAAGCCCACCTCAGGGTATGGTTGGCTCACTTCATTTATGCCGTGATATAAATGACTGCCAAGTGACCTCTCCTAGCATTTTCAGCATTTTCACAGAACTATATAGCTTGAAGGATTTACTGGATATTATGGAATTTCAGGTTTTACCTGGCCTTTGACAGAAGTATTTTTTTTTCCTAAATATACCTTTATTGATTTCAGAGAGAGGAAGGGAGAGGGAGAGAGAGAGAGAAACATCAACGATGAGAGAGTCATTGATTGGCTGCATCCCACAACCCGGGCATGCGCCCTGACCGGGAATCGAACCCCGATCCCCTGGATCCTAGGTCAATGCTCAACCGCTGAGCCACGCCTGGCTGGGCCAGAAGTATGTTTTTGAACAGGGAACCCTCTTTAACACGTCTGAGACTACATAAAGTAGGGATTATTTTGTTTGCTTCTAAGTTGGGCCTCCACTAGTTTCATTCTGTGCTGGATCTGTTACATTGGGTAGCAGTGCCTTTACCACAGGGTCATTGTGTGGAGTGAAGGAGCCAGTATGTATAAAGTACTTGGCACAGGACAAGGCCAATAGTAATTCATCAATAAATGGTGGCTGTAATTATTATACCACTGACTCAGCTCAGTTCCTCTGGGATTTATGTACCAGTTCAGGCGAACAGAGATGCTTCTGCAGCCCTGTATCCCTGGCACTTTAGTTCTCAGGCCCACGAATCCTCTGCCTTGGAGATTCACAAGGGGCATAGATTACAATAGGGGAGACTGGTCATGTGGGTGCAGCGAGAACATAAAACCCTCCAAGGACCGAGCCCTGAAGGGCTGGAGCAGACAATTCTTCCGCTGGGAGAGAAAAGGTACTCCTCTCAGAAGTGGCTGCCTCTCTCGCCCCNAGCAGACAATTCTTCCGCTGGGAGAGAAAAGGTACTCCTCTCAGAAGTGGCTGCTAGAGTGGCTCCGTTGGTTGAGTGTCGTCCGCGCAGTCCCTGCATCGTGCATCAAGGGTTGCTGGTTTGATTCCCGGTCAGGGCACATACCTGGGTTGTGGGTTTGATGGCCCTCAGGGAGGGAGCATATAGAAGGCAGGTGATTGATGTTTCTGTCTCTCTCTCTCTCTCTCTCTCTCTCTCTCTCTCTCTCTCCTCCTCTCTCTCCCTTTCTCCCTCCCTCCCCCCTTCCTCTCTCTAAGCATGTCTTCAGGTAAGGATTAAAAAGAAAAAGTGGCTGGCTCTCTACCCCCGAGGTTGCGACTGTCCCTTGGGCTGTGCTCATTTCCACTGTGACTCTCACTGCCATGTGCCCGGTGGTCCCTGTTTTCTCCTGACTCAGCCATGGATGTCTTTTCTTGTTCTCTCTCAGGAAAACACAGCTGCACCACTCAGAATGAACTCTAAAATGGAAAGAAAAAACATAATGAAATAGAAAAACTGTGACTAGCATAAAAATAATCACCAAAGTACATGGTTCTGACTTGAAGAATCACAGTAGAAGCACATCTCAGTTCAGACTGTTCACTTTTCAACCGTTCAGTGGCCGCGTGGGGCGATCGCGGTGGCCTGGGCGGCACAGCTCTAGGCCTTGACTCTCCGCCGAGCGTAAGCTCCGGGAGCAGGGCCTGTCGTGGCTCATCACCGGAGCCTGGCAGCGAGCCCTTCTCTTCAGGAGCGATTCCTGACTTTTCTCCAGTATTGCTAGAAATTGCTAGAGAATGGCGCATAGTTCTTTGGTGCAGATTGTTATTACATTTAATTGTGTAGTTAAATTACATTTTATTAAAAGGTGTTACATTCCTAGAACACTTTAATGCTAGTGTATGTGTGTCCCCACATATATTTCCATCATCTAAAACAGTCCAGAAACTTAAAGGTTAAAACAATACATTATTTTTNGTGTGTCCCCACATATATTTCCATCATCTAAAACAGTCCAGAAACTTAAAACAATACATTATTTTGGAAAAATGTTTCATTGGAAATCATTTTTAGATTGACACTGCAATCAAGTTGAACTCTGATAAAGAGCGCCACTCAGAAAGTAGTAATACAGAGGAAAGTAGAGACAGTAATGATGATAAAGGGGAAAACTCTGAGAATATAGGACTGGCTGAAGAGGGGTCACATGAAGATTTGAACTTGGTTCAACATCAGATCGTCTCTAAATGTTCAGGTGGGTGATTGGCTAATGATAATTACAGATGTAAATATTAGAATTAGATATGTTTTTTATCAGCTAACTAGAAATAATTAAAAAATGAGTTATTTTTTGTGAATAAACAATCATAAGTTATTATTTAGGAGAATATTGAGTCCTTAAGTATACTTAGAAAATAATAAGATACGTCATTTAATAAAATTGTTATTGTCATTTTACATGAATCAAGTGGGAAGTATTTCTACATTTTATTACACAAGTTGTTGATCTTTTTGATGACTAAAATTGCACAATAAAATGTATCCTGTAATTTATAAATACTTTTTTAGGGATGATCCCATTTGATCTTAGTAATGTTTGGATTTTAAAAGACTCCCATTTTCATGGTTATTAAATTAATACTGGTCACAGTGAATTAGAACAGCACTTCTCAAAATGTGGTGTGCAGAGCTCTGGGGGTCTCTGCAAAGTAAAAACCACTTTCATCATAATACCTACATAATATATTAGTAATATAGTTTATCATAATACTGAGATAATCTCTTTGCTTTCTTGTCCACAATTTACACTGCTGGTGCAAAAGTAATTGCTGGTGCTTTAGCATGAACCAAGGCAATGGCATCAGACTGTACTATTAGTCACTGTATTCCTCATGACCAGGCACAGGCGGAAAAAAGAAATAGCCAGTGTCACGCAAGAATGTCTTTGGAGCAATAAAATTAATAATTTTATTAAATCTTGATCTTTGGATACACATCTTTTTAATATCCTGTGTGGTAGAATGGGAGGCACGTGTAAAATAATTCTACAATATACCAAACCATAAAGGTCATGTTGAGGAAAAGTATTTGTGTGGTAGTTTAAGTCAAGAGCTGAAGTGGCCACTTTTTAAATGCAACACCATTTTTTCTTGAAAGAATGACCAACAGAAAAACTGTTATCTTCAGACTGGGTATTTGGCATTCACTTTTTAAAAAATGAAATGAGCCTGTTGCCTCAAGGAAGACAACTGACAATATTTTTGGTCAATGACAAAATTTGAACTTTCAAGTGAAAATTAGAATTTTGGAAAACTTAATGTATGTCCATGGGAGCTTGACAGTTTCCCAATACTTAGACTTTTCTGATAAAAATTGATGGCCATATTAACAAGGTGATTTCTTTGCTATTGTGTACTGAAATGTGTCAGCATTTGAAGATCTACATAATTTAGTGAACCACTGTTTTCCGAATGACCAATGCATTGGACATGAAAGATAGATCCATGGATTTTAATGGAACAAGTACAAAAAGCTCACTAATGTGGTTACAGATTTTGCATTACAACTAACCTTTTAGAGACCACCCTTTGTTGAATTTTGATATAATGCCAAAGAAGAATATTTACCATTATCTGAAAAGGCTATTAAACTTCTCTTCTTCTTTCCTACTATATGTCTGTGTGAGGCCAGCTTTTCTTCATATACTTTAACTAAAATAACAGATTGCTAGAGATTGATCTTAGAAGCAAATATGAGAACTCAGCTGTCTTCTATTAATCCAGATATTCAAAAATTAAAACAATGCTATTCTCAGTATTTTTCGGGGAAAATATAGTTTAGTTTTTGTTAAAAAATGTTATATTTCTGTTAACATATAATTAGTAATAACATGTTTATCATTTTAAAATAAATATTTACAATATTTTTCAGTTTTGATATCTAATATTGTAATTATCAACAATAGAACTCAAATAAACAAAAGCTACTTTGGGTTCTGAGTAATTTTTAAGGCTGTAAAGGGAAGCTGAGATTCATAAACTGTGAAAATTGCTGATTTAGAACATGTTTGGAATGAGATTAACTCTAAAAGTAAGGCCAGGTGATTCAGGTTTACAGCTCTCAGGAAACAAGGTATTGTAGTTGAGATTAGCTATCACCCAGTTTACATTGTATTTGTTGATATTGTTTCAGTCGTGCATGAGTTACTTCAAAATGCCTGTCCTATATGGAGCCTGCGAATGCTAGGATTTGCAGTTGGGAATTAGAACTAGAGGCTGTTGCATTTGAAGTATGTAAGCATTAAGATTTGCAGAGCCTCCTTAATATGATCAGTATTCTTTTTGAATAAGCTTATTCCCTTTAAAAATATTTTATTTTCCTTAAAAAGGACATCATTGGACTCTTTGGATTTTCAAAAGTCACAAATTTGGCCTTTCTTAGTATAATATAATATGCCATGTCTAATTATCTAAACTAGGGTAGCTGAGACTTTAGTATTGGAGCACTTATGCTTACTGCCAGATTATCATCTTTCATCAGAGTTTACAGAGGAAGTATCGCCTGCTGGTGAAGAGCTTTGGCTCTGGAGTCAGACAGATCTGGGTGGAAGCTGACTCCGCTATGTGTAGTTAAGTCATCTTGGATATGTATGTAACTCAGTTACAAAGTAGCCTCAGGTCACAAATTCGTAAAACGGGGACAATAATGATACCACCTGACGGGGTTATGGCGAAGATTAAATGAGATAATGCATGTAAATAAAGCACTTGACACTGTGCCTGTCTGGTAAGTCTGCAAATGTTAGCTGCTATTATTAACATCATTAAATGTAAGTTAAAACCTGAACGATGGAAGTTCTATAGAGTCCCTAATTTCAAATAAGTTACTACCAATTATCCACAACTCAAGAACATTTTTAGGTACTTCAAGAAAATAGAACAAGCAGGAGTGGCATGGATAAAAGGTGTCTGGGTTACGTGGAATACTTTTCTGGATTTGTTTCCATACGTGGGAGCCGTTTTGTGTCGCTCATGACATGCTCCATTTTACTGTAGCGACTGTGTGCATGCCTTCCCTTTCAGTTAGTCTGAAGCAGCTTTAGCCTTACGCCGTATTTGTTAGTCATGAGTACAGAACATACAGCAGAACAAAGGAGAAAGAATATGGGATTTTAAATCATGCAAGACCCACTTCTGGGTTCAATGCTATCATTTATTAGCTATTTAAAGGGACCCAGTTATCTCAACTGTAAAATAGAGATGTATGTCTATTTCACAGGGTTGTTAGATAATGATATAAAATAATATATATGTGAAAGCACCTTGTAAATCAAGATACTTGACCCCAATGTTACTTATTACCGTCAACTATAAACATTTGTTGAATGAAAGAAGAAAGAGTAAAAACGAAACAAAACAAAGCTTTGCAGTTGGCTAAACTTCCAGCTTATTCCCACTTTATTCCTACAATATAGATGAACCCAAATTAAAAGAATTAGATTCTCAACTTCAAGATGCTATTCAGAAAATGAACAGGCTTGATAAAGTGCTGGTGAAGAGACAAAACAGAGAAAAAGAAGTTAAGAAGCAAGGCCTAGAAATGAGAATCAAGCTGTGGGAAGACCTCAAGGTAAGACCCGGTGCCCACGTGCTGACAGGTAAGAAGTGATCCCCCTGCGCCGAGCCGCGCACCGTGGCGGTGGTGAACGTGGCCCGCCTTTACTGACCCATTTTGTGGGGGTGGGCACCGCACTGGCACCGCACTGGCACCGCACTGGCAGTGTCCTCATTCCCCACCCGCAGCCCAGCGGGCCTCTCACCAGCGTCGGGCTGGGGCGCCTCCGCTTCTGGAATAGAAAGGGCTGTGATGCCCACTTTCATTAAGGGTGCATGTCTGCTTTTTCTTCAGCAAGCTTACATTTTGGAGATAAATATACAAATATACAAAAATCTAACCTCCCGTTTCTCATTATTATTTGAGTAAACGCCTGTGACCATGAAGTGGGGGAGCTCATTGTCTCATGAGCTGGTCAAGATCTCCCGGGGAAGCTGTGACATGCTTGAGGTCTGGGACCGGGCTCTACTTGCTTGTGTCTCAGTATTTCTTGCGCAGTGAACTTGCCTTGGCCTTCTTGGGCCTCTTATTCTCTGTAGTGTTGAGGGGTGGATGTTGACCAGAGACTGGCACTGACTTGATGTATAGCTATTGGCTCACACTTGAACTTTGCCCCTCAAAGGAGAGCACTGTAAGGTAAGGAACATTGAAATAACTGGTTGTTTTTGATGAATTCCTCCTTGATCAATTGCCTGACTTTGGAGGAAATTTCTAAGACGATAATATGAATTAATATAATAAGGTAATTTGGCTATATTTTTACAAGGTTCCCAGGAACACCACTGGGATGGAAAGAAAGCAACATACGAAATGCAGTGCTTTAAACTAGAGAAGTAATTTGTTAACAGAAAAAAAAATTAGCCTATAACTTACTCCTGTTGAGTCTCAAAGCAAAGTTTACTTGCTTGGAAACAAGAATTATAACTGGAAACATAATAAAATACCATAGTGATCTTGAAATGTCTGAAATTGTAATTTGACAGTGTACTTTTAGGTTACTCATTAGTTAAAGAAATATTAAACAGAAACTTAAGAAACTTTAAGCAAGGTAATTATGATATAATGGCAGACATATGCTCGGACTCTATTTGGGAATACTTGTGGACAGAATTTTGTGGGGACAGGAAACATTAATAGATTTCCTAATTAAAGGAATAAAAATGACCCGAGTTGTCTTGTTTGTATGTACATGATTGGAAACCATGTTGAAATTTAACAAAATATCAATGTTGCTTTTTTTCCTCATATTTAAACTTTCATTTCTCTTTCATTAGTCTGCAAAAAATAGTGAGGCTTTGCCAAGTAAGGAGGAAATGGAAAATACAAAGAAGTTTCTAGCTTTGACTGCTGTATCAGAACAAACTGTTGGTGAGTAAAAAGTGATTCACCTTTATCTTTATCACAGTCATTTAACTCTTCTTTAGAGGAAGTGGCCACATTAGGTGGATTATATGAAACTACCTTGGGCTGAGGTATGTTGCAGAGTTTTTAAGGGCTTATATCTGCTCAAAGGTGGGGGGCCAAGGCAGTGAAAAATTGGGAATTAGACAAAGCCTGTCTTTGCCTTTACTCTCTGTATGTCACAGATACCTCTAGACACCCAGTGCATGGGTGTTTGTGATTTCTCTCCTCTGCAGCTTTCTTTTCCTTTCCCTCCTTAGTTTCCTTCTTACACAGAACTGTTGTGGGATCACGTAACCTAGTTAGCCTAGTTAGATACTGGGGGCAGTTTTAGGGATTGGGAAGCAGTTGGTATTTTTTGGCAGGACTTTCGAAATCCTTTAACCTACATCACATAAGTGGTCATCTAGTGTTGCTTGGGCATTAGACTGGCTCCAAGCAGGGGCCTCTGATTTCCCAGAGAACCCTGGAATCCATTGATCTTTTACAAAATGGGTGTCTAACGTTTTCGAGTCCCAAGAACCTGATCCAGGCGACTGCGACTCTTTAGCCTGAGCTTTGACGTGGATGAAATTCCTTCAGGCTTGTTCCTTTCCAGGCCCAGCACTGGGAGCTCAGAAGCTTCCTGGGTCTGTCTCCATGCAGAGAGAGAATGATGCTGGCCAGTTGCCGCCTCTAGGGAGCTCAGTAGTGTCCCTCCAAAATTCATGTCCACTTGAAACCTCAGGATGTGACCTTATTTGGAAATAGGATCTCTGCATATGTAATTAGTTAAGATGAGGTCATACTAAATGAGAGTGGGCTCTAAATCCAATAATTAGTGCCCTTGTAAGAAGAGAAGACTGAGAGAGACACAGAGAAACAACGACACAGGGAGGAAGGCCTTGTGAACATAGAGGTAGAGACTAGAATAGTGTAGCTACCGCCGAGGAGCACTACGGATTCTGAAGCCAGCAGAGCTAGGGGGAGGCAAGGAAGGATCCTTTTCCAGAGACTTCAGAGGGAGCATGGCCCCGTTTATTCAGATTTAATTAGAATATATGTATATATTTTTTGATGACTGGTCTTTTATAGAAGTCAAATTCCTTAATGAAATTTCCTGCTGGCTCTTTATATTATAGGTATGTATTTAGCAGTAATATATCTAATTAAAAAAATCTTTAAAACCAAAAGAGAGAGTATTTACTTCAGACTACATTATTAGCCTAATTGCATAATTAAAAATATTTTACATAACATAATTATTACCTTATTCCAGAAGACAAAGCTTTGCAATCTTTGGTTTAAGAGTATTATTAGCAGAGTATGAAGGAAATGAATAGAAATGCAGGAGCCAAGTTTGACCACATAGCACAGCTTTTTTAAAGTCTTGTATCCCTACTGTTAGAACATAGCAGCATATTATAAAGTGATGTGAAACTTCTTATGTCTGTTTCATTCAGAGATTAGTTTCTTTCCCATGTTTTTCACTGAACTTCGGTTACCTCTTTTAATTAAACATATAAAATATCAAAAATTAATAAAAAATTGTTTTGGTCAAGCATATATACAGCCATAAGTTTTAAAGTAAAATGTCCCTATAAGGCTTATTATGAAAACAGAAATCTTTTCCCCTTTTTTCCTCCATGAACGTGCTTTCTTTGTTACCAGGAAAGCACAAAGCCCTTACAAATTGTCCAGTAGATGGCAGCATCTAGTTAAAATACGTACTACTTTATTTAAAAATCTCTTGAAGATGTTACAGCCAGATGTATTTGGACTTGAACTTTAGGCACACATGTACAAACATACCGAAACCTACTTTCTACTTTTATTCTTATTTTTTCCCTTTAAAAACAGGGTAAATTCTTAGGGTGAGTATTATTCTTTCTTTCTCCCAGTCATTTCCTTAACCTTTTATTTAGGAGTAACTTGACAGACTTCAGACTGGTGTCAGAATGGCAACTTCCAACCTGTTTTCCAGCCCCTTAGAGCACAAAATACATCCCAGTCCCCTTCTCACATCACAAATAACCAATAGGAAAAAAAAAAAAGAGATAATTGTTGTTGAGTTGTTATTTAGCTTTATTTATAGGTTCTGAACACAAGTGAGGCCTTCACTCCAAGAGAAAGATGAAAGCCACGATAAACTGATTTTTACCACATTTTGACTTTATAACCCAGAGTTAATAGCCTCAAGTTTACTGAGATTTTGAAGTAGACAATATTATACTTGCTAGAGATTTTGGTAACCTTTAAAAAGTCTATCCCACCCCATTTTTGAGAGATCACTTTTAAGTTTTTCTAGAGAATGTTGTGAAAATCAAAACTCTTTTTTTAAAAGGTCATTGATTTTACAAGATACTTAAAAAAAATATNAAAGGTCATTGATTTTACAAGATACTTAAAAAAATATATATATATTTAATTTTTAGAGAGAGAGGAAGGGAGAGGGAAAAAGAGATAGAAACATTGTTTGGCTGCCTCCTGCACGCCCCCTACTGGGGATCGAGCCTGCAACCCAAGCAGGTGTCCTGACCAGGATGCAGGGGGGTTGCTCAACCACATTTATAAGTGACATAAGCTGTGTGTGTGTGTGTGTGTGTGTGTGTGTGCGCGAGAGAGAGAGAGAGAGAGAGAGAGAGAGAGAGAGAGAGAGAGCGAGAGCGAGAGAGAGAGAGAGCGAGAGCGAGGGAGCGAGAGCGAGGGAGCGAGAGAGCGATGGTGTCCCCCACCTGCATGTATATTGTGGTGTTGGGGGTGGGGTGGGATTGGGGCGAACATATGTGTGTATGATTTGTTAGGCTATGTTAACTTATAAAATGAACGGGGCATGGCTGTTCATTTTCTCTGCTTTAAAATAGTTTATATGACATGGGATTATCTGTTCCCTAAAAATCTGAAAGATTTCACTGGAAAAACCATCTGGTTCAAATAATTCTTTGGAGACAATTCTCTGACTTTTTTCAGATTCTTTCATATTTACTATTGTATTTCAGTTTACTAGTCTTCTGGAGTCAATTTTGGCAATAGAGCCATGTCACTGGGGTTTTAAAGTATCTATTTCACTGAGGTTTTAATTTTTACTAACATAAAATTTCTTATACCATAGTATTTTTAACTAATAATTTTTTTTATTGTTTATATGTCCCATTTCTTATTTCTAACTTTGTTAATGTTTTCCTTCTACTTAATCTAGATGGTTTTTAAATTAACCTTTTTAGCATAATTTTAGATTTACAGAAAAATTTTGAAGATAGTACAGAGATTTTCCATATACCTGCAACTAATTTTCCCTATTATTAACTTTAGTATGGTACGTTAGTCACAAATAATGAACCAGTATGTACACATTATTAACTAAAGTCTATACTTTATTCAGACATTTAGCTTTTACCTAACGCCCTTTTTCTGTTCCAGGACCCCACCCAGGATGCCACATTTCCTTTAGTCCCCATGTCGCCTCAGGCTCCCCGTAGCACTTTCTCAGACTTTCCTTGTTTTTGATGACCGTGGCAGCTTTGAGGAGCGCCCGTCAGGTATTTTGTAGAATTTTCAGCAATTGGGATTGAAGTCATGGTTTTCTCACGATGTGACTAGGGTCGTGTGTTCTTGGGAGACCAGAGTGAAAGTGCCTTTCCGTGACATCACATCATCCTATCGACATAACAGAGTCGACCTTAACTTTGATCAGCTGGCTGAGGACATGTTTGTCAGAATTCTCCGTGTGAAGTTCCTCTGTTCTTACCCCGTTTCCATAGTATCCTCTTCGGAAGGCAGCAACTACGCGCAGACCATACTTAAGGAGTAGGGAGTTGAGCTTCACCTCCTTGAAGGCAGAGTATTTACATACATTATTTTAATTTATTCTGCAAGGGAGACTTGTCTGTTCTCCCTGCTTATTTATTTACATCAGCATAGACTCGCGGATATTTGTTGTATACTTTGTATTAAGATCTGATAGCACTTTATTTATTTTGTTGCTCAATTTTTTCCAGCTTTGGCCATTGGGGAGCTCTTTCAGTGACCCTTGTGTCCCTTTGACATAGCTCCATCACGGTGAGCTTTGTTTTGTTGTGATCTCTGAGCACTTTCTTACTTTCTGGCATTACAAGATGCCCAGACTCATCTGCTCTATATCCTACCTGAGTCCTGGATTTGGCCACTTTCCCCAAGGAACCCTGGCTCGTCTGATTAGAGACTCCTAGAAGCCAAGATTTGGATGTTAGGTGTGCTTGGTGCTGCTGGGGAGTTGTCGATTCTGGACCCTCTGAGAAAGGAAACATTTATGTGTATATTAACCTGTTATACACGTATCTATAAATATTTCTATGTGTAATCATCTGTATCTATATTAAGATAAAAGTGAGTTTATACTGATGTCTCCGGCTTTATTACCACATGGATTGTTCTAGCCTTTCCCCGTGCTCTTCTGTAACCTTCACTCCAACAGTGAGAAATCTGGCTCTCACCACTGGCATCTATTTACTTAATTGTTCAGTTCCACCGCACATGCGTAGTGATATCAGAGTTGTTGACCTGTACCCTCGTAGCACCCAACTTAATCAACTGGAGCGCAATGCTCAAGCGCAGTTTCTGCTGCCTTTAGTCTTTCTCCACTCTTTCCGAAGTTACTCAAGGCGAGCATGGTTTTCCTCCGCTCAGTGAAATTGTTTCCTATGTCTGTAATGCAGTTAGGTTGTTTTGAACATTCTGTATTCCATCTGGGATTCTATGACATCCTAAATAATTTTTTGAAAATTTGCACACGTTAAGGTTCACTCTTAGTGCTGTGAGGTTACAGGTTTTTGAAAATGTGGTGTCATATGACCACCATTACAGTATCATACAGAACAGCTTTGCCACCCTAAAGACCCCCCGTGTGAATTTCTACCTAACCCCCCTTCTTCCCAAAGCCCATAGCCAACACTGGTCTTTTTACTGTCTTTAGTTTTGCCTTTTCCAAATATTATGTAATTGGAATCATG